AGATTTTGTATGAAATATGCTTGAGTTGCATGATGCAAATGTTTCTTTTGTGAGAGAAGGAAGGCCATAGGATATGATTACTTACTCTGCCACTGAGCTTCCTGGGCAGGTCTGGCCAAGCTAAAGATACCTATCGCTCTTGTTCAAGGTCCATTTCCTACTGAGTTGTCACATTGTTGAATTATAGTTGAGCTGAAGTCCAAAAGGGGAAATATTTTGCAATCTAGGGTTGGACCCTGGAGCTATACAATCATGATTACTGATACAGAGTTTCCCAGAAATACTCTGCACGCCAGGGCCACACCGAGGAGCCCTCACATTTTGGTGCGCCATTTTGTGAACCGTCTCCCCCCGCGGCGCTGCTGGTCTGTGAAAGTTTTCCAAAGGAGCTGGTGAAAAGATCTCGTTTTGCCTCCCGTTGAACTATTTCTTTTCTTTAATTATTTATGAAATAAACTTTTAAACAAGACTCTTTTTAATAGCTCGGTTTAAAAAGCACTTTAGGAATAAGGCATATTTATCTTCACAAAAAGAGTAATCTGTGTATTGAGCCAGAGGATAATAAGCCTGGAGCTTCCTGAGTCTTAACACAGATGCTCTTTTGACGGATGTTGACTTTTAAAATTCCCACCATCCTAAGAGAGTTCTTCATGGTGGTGTTTGCCCACTTGTGATTACGGACCTAATCATTTATGATCATGGTGATAAAAGGATAGGCATTCCTGGATAGGTATTCAGAAGCTACAGCCTTTCCACCAGTTAGTGTATGACCCTGAGCAAATCCCTGCCTCCCTGAGCCTCAGTTTGTTTCCCTGTGAACTATTCAGCCCGGTGCCCAGAAGCTCCGGGTTCTATGGAGAGCCTTTGAAGTCAAGGTGAGAGGCAGGTGGGAAGACTAAGAAGCAGATAGGCGCTGGGTTTCCATAGCGGGAGTTCATTTTTGTATTTTATGCATTCAGAGTCTGCATAAAATTTCACTGAAGAAAGGATTCTGCTGCTTATAAAGAGTCTGAAAAGCATAAGACTTGATGATCTCTAAAAAATATCCTCTGAGTTCATGTTCACATAAATTTGTGAACTCAGATACGTAAACACACACACTTGCACACCCTCTCTCCACACTGCAAAAACCAAAACTGGTTAATGTTCCATGGCTCATGTTGAAAAAGAATCCTGGTTTCGTTTTCTTTTCATGCTACTGTCCCCCACAGACTGCCCCCCAGGTGCTACTGGGAGTTGGAGAAGCACTGTTATTTGGCTGAGTCTTCAGTTGAAAGCTTAGTTAGAATTGGAGCTTTACTTTTAGAAGGGACACTTAGAGCTCACCTATCTACCCCTGCACCTTGTATATGAGGAATCTAATGCATGAAAGGTGAGTGGCTCGCCCAACGTCACGTAACCAGTTGGTGGCAAAGCCACGGTCAGAAACCAGGTCTCTAAATCCCAGCCAGGGCCCTTTCCAGTGCACCATGCTCTTGGAAAATGAGGGAACCACAAACAGGATGTCTGGATGTCTTCTGTTGATGATTCAAAAATAAAAATATTCCTCATCTGCCTCTGTGGTATGGGTTGATCTTTAGATCTACCAAGATCCTAAAAAAAAAAAAAAAAAAAAAAAATAGTGCCTGGACAAACACACACACAGGCACTTTGCCAAGGGGATAAGAGGTAATGAAAAATCCTTGGCAAGTGGATACTTCAAAGCTTCAGAGGGTTTATCTAAAGAAGACTTTGAATAGAGTGCAATGTTTTATGGGTTCTCCTAATCCCCAGTAAATGTGCCTTGCTGAATAAGCAGAAACATTCTTAATGACTACTGGAGAGTTACAGACCCAGTGGCTGTGTGTTAGTGTGTCCTGGGACCTTTCGTCTCCTGCAGTACAAACCTGGAGATAGAATTTGGGTCTATGCCACTGGTTCTGAGCTGAAGTCTTCAGTGAACCTGAGGTTTTGCCCTCCAAAGGTTGGCAGCCAGTTACTCTTTACTCAGCCCTATCAACCCCTGCTTCTACTGTCACTAACTGTCTCCACCTCTCTCTCCACCATGAAGAATATCCTTTGATCTCAGTTTAGCCTCACGATATCCCCGGAGGTGTGTCCTATGTGTGTCCAGAACCTGTTCTCAGCTGGGAAGTGGGTGGTGGGTGAGCATCTGAGATAGGTAGTTTGTTGAGTTCAGGCCAGGAGGGGGACCCCACGTCCGGGAAGTCTAGGGGAGTCAGGTCATGACGTGGAAGGCTAGAGGTCTAGAGAAAACAGAGGCCCAAGGCCCTGTGGTTCAAGATTCAGGGAAGGAGACTGAGGGCTAGGGGAGCCTGAGGGGCTGTAAGGGCAGCAAAGCCAGCAAGCACTCCCAGCCTTGCTAACCCTGTCCATCCTGCTTCCGGGGCCTTGGGCCATTCCATTTTGGGCAGCAACTTCAGTGGGGTTGGAACTGTAAGACTTTATCCAAGTCTTTTGGAGCTTACACTCCGTGGGTGTAATGAACAAATGGGGCATTTGCAGGGCGGGCGAGACTTCAGGCTCTAGGCTACAAATTTGAGCCCTATGGCTTTCTGAGGTCCTTTTCAGGGCTCACACTGGGTCTCCTAAACTTACTCTCCCTTTTGAAACAGCTCTACTTTAAAAAATCCATCCCCCTCTTGACAATGAAAACTCCTTTTCAGGAGATAGAGGGTTTGTTACTTGACCAGTGTGTGGATTGATGTGACACACCAAAGCAAGGCCAGCATGCTTTAACAAAACCCACCAAAGAGCACAGGGTAAGAGGAGGTACCAGACACAGAGACTGAAGTGAAGTAAAGCAGAATTGTTGTTTTCTCTACCTTCTGCAGCAAAGGAAACAAAACAGGAATTGAGAAGAGTCAAGGTTAGGATAGGCAGGGCCTCCCCCAAGGCTAAGTCTGTAAAAAAATGCTAGATGATGGAATGAAAATTCAGGAAGAAGACAGACACACTTTAAAAAAATACAGTAAGTTCCAAAAATGATTCATGCAGGATATCCGATTTTTTTTTTTTTAGTGGAAATTTGAAAGAAAAATCAGGAAAATGACAACACTCTTCTACCTGAAGTGAAAATAACTCATGTCCTTTATCCAACCTCAGGTCTGGTAAGTCTTTATCTTGTAAAGTGGGGTGGAAGGAAAATAGCTGTGACTCCTATCCCGTGTTGAAAGCTTGAAGATTTTCAAGACAAGAAATAGCTCAGAGGTAAATGGCAGACAAAAACTCTGGGAGTGAGAAGGGTCTGCCTGGGGAAAGAGAGACAAGAAGGTATTGGGAAAAAATGAAGGGGGTCCACATAGAACACTTTTTATCAGTCAAGGAGCATTCGCATGAGGATACCCTAATGGCAGTAAGGCTCCACACTTGCTTATAAAGCAAGAAGAATGATGAGAAAGAGCCTGCATCCAACTTGCCATGTCTCACCACAACCATCTAAAGTCTAACAATGAGAACATCCTCAAAGTTCTGGGTATGTGTTCCCTTGGGCCAACCACCTACATTACAGTAACTGAATTAAACCTAAGACATTTTCAGTGTGGATCTCAGGGAGGCCTAGGGAGGACATGTCTTTTGTTAAGAGAGGAATCCAGAGAAATTTGACAGATGTGCTGTAATAAAGATCATTCACTGAGCATATGCTTTAAAGTCACCTACTTGTTCTGCAGAGTCATGGGGCTCTATGGATTTAGAAGGTAGAAACACTGATCTCATGTCAATTGTATTAGTTATCTATTGTCATGCAACAAATTTTTTAAAATGTGACCCAACTCTATGCTGTCTACAAGAAATAAACTTCAAATATAATGATATAGTCCGCTTGAAAGTAAAGGAATGGACTAAGGTGGGGTATACAAACACTAACCAAAGGAAAACAGAAGTGGCTATATTAATATCGAATAAAGTAGATTTCAGAGCAAAGAAAATTTCCAGAGATAGAGAGGGGCATTACGTAATGATGAAAGGTCCACCAAGCAGACATAACTATCCTAAATGTGTATACACCAAACAACAGAGTTGCAAAATATGTGAAGCAAAACCCAATAAAACAGAAAGGAGAAATAGACAAATCTACAATGATAGCTGGAGACGTCAACACCTCTTTCTCTCTCAACAACTGATAGAACAACTAGTCAGAAAATTAGCAAAGATATAAAAGAATTCAACAAGGCCATTAACCAACAGGAACTGATTGACATTTATAGAATACCACCCAACAGCAGAATATACATTCTTTTCAAGTCCTGAGGTAACAGATATGTCTTTGACTATTTTCAAAGCCCAGGCATATCTCACATAGAGCTTATGCATCCTTATGTCTCTGACATATGACATAATTTTCCCTTTCATTAGGAATGCATAAATGTAGTAAGTTGCATATACATAAATTAATTTATTCCATTTGCATCCTTTATTATGTATCAGGGACTGTGTTAAAGGCTTGGTTCCATGAAGAACTCGGCCAATCCCTGACCAGAATTGCATGGGGAGTCAGAGTTCCAGGTGGTATGAAAGTTGAGTGAATATTTGGAATAAAGTGGGAACACAAAGGGACAGATTCCAGCTGGTGTGGGTACCAGGGAGAGGAGTCAGAAAAGGCCTCAGAGAGGATGAAGTTTCATTCGTATCAATTCCTGATAGATGATTAGGTGTGATCTAGTCACCCTGAGACAACGAGAGTGACCACACCCCTCAGGTGCATATTTTTCTGTGCATATATAGGCAGCATATGTATTTTTCGATATCCCAAGTAGCCATGCCAACCTTGTAGCTGAGGCACCCAAGAAAGAAAATCCACTGCACTACAGCACTTTCAGATCATTTCTATCTATCTCTAGGTCCAGGCAGGTAGGAAGAAACTTGGTTCCAACTGCCTTGCTCCTATCATTCCTCCATTCCCTCTTCCAGCTGGTGAGGCCCAACAGCCATGGATCTTCCAAAGCTAGTGAAGTCAGGATAGAATTTCTGATAAATGGTCATTTAAGTTCTTTACCAACCTTTTCCTGTCAGTTCTAGCTCTGATCCTCTGACTTGTTTCCCACAAGCTTGTCAAGCTTCTCAGTCAGGTTAGTCGGACCCATTTGTATACCGGGTGTCCTCGTTCTGCTTGTAGAAAATAGGCGTCGGTTACCTAACTCCTCCATCTCCACAGGCACATGGAGAGCCGAAGGGGGGCTCATTTGTTTTCTTGTGGTACTATCAGCATCCTTGGGAAAGTATTCCATAGACAAACTGATTTTGGGACACTGGGGCATTTGATGGGAGGAAACGATCCATACAAAGAGTGAATTTTGTACAAACAGCAACTCTGTGAAAGGGAAAACATGACATCCATGGATACTCATTCATGCCCCAGGGTAATATATAGATCTGTTTATCTTTTGAGTCAAACAAATAAACAGACATATAGTCCAAGGCTCCTTTTCCCTCCCCGTGGCTGAGGAGGAAGAAGGCCTGTGATTCATTTCCACAGACTCCCAGTCACTCCTGAGAAGCACACTCACAGCATGTTTACATATCACAGCCTTCCGCTACTTCACCAAATGCCTCCTGGCCTTTGCTCAGTGAGCCAGTCGGACTCCCAGAAAATCCTTCATTCTTTCCCAACTGTGCCGCCCAAGCCAGATGTTCTCTATCAAGAACACCAAGTCCTGCCCGGAGGTCGTCGCCAGCAAAAACTCACGAGTGGCCCTTGCCTTTGGGAGATGATGTCATGCTTTGTGGCGACGTGTGCTATGATCTCCCCCCGAGGCGGAAGACAGGGTGGACTGACAGGGGGCTGGGGTGGGGGAGCGGGTGGGCCAACCCTCTCCCCTGTGAGGGGTGGCTGCAGTGTGTAAGCCAGCCTAGGAGAGCACCCCTTGTCCCAGGCATCTCCAGGACAGGATGCTATAGCTCCTTGGATAGTTCCCAACGCCCTCTGCATGCAAGACGTTCTTCTGAAGGCCCTCTGTGCAGAGGGCTCCTTGGATAGTTCCCAACGCCCTCTGCATGCAAGACGTTCTTCTGAAGGCCCTCTGTGCAGAGGGCGAGGTCTGACACGTCTGCAGGGTCCTCTGGTGAGAACTCAGCAGTCTGGGGGAACGTACTCGAAGCAGCAGGAAGGGCAGCCCCAAAGCTGAGCACTCTACACGGCAGGGCGGGCTCTGAGGGCCTCACTCACTCTTTGTGCACAGGCATACTGCTAGCCCCTAACAGCATGTTTATGGACCCACCATGCTCTCCGATTTCTGAGCCCACAGCCAACGGCAGCCAATTCTCAGGCGATCCTGGAACTGGCAGGGACAGGTCTAGTGACATTGCCTCACACATAGTAGATACTCAATGCCTATTTGTTGAACAAAAGAATGATCAAAGGCATTGGAAAAGGCACCGCCAACAGGAAGAGAGGGCCCTCCCAAACCACTCCATCTGTTAAAATGGATGTTCTCATGCCCGGGGGCTTTTGGCACAAGGGAAAGTCCTCCAAGTTGCAAACTGCCTGCTTGGAGCTGGGTACTTAAGTTATTACCTCAATTACTTACATCGTCATCCCGTATGAGGTATTCAGAACGCATTTGACAGACAAGGAAATGGAAGCACGGAGAAATGGAGTGGTTTGCCCCGGGTCCTTCAGCCAGGGAGGAGGAAGGCCTTGTTCCCAGCTCAGATCTGCCTCAAAGGCCTGTGCTGTCAACCATATAGCTATCACCTCTTCTCCTTCCTGGACCAATCCAACCCCCCGCCTATCCCTCTGTGTTGCTTTGAACAGATGCCGAACTGGTTTCTCTATCTCCAGTCTGTTTCCAGCCCGCTATCCCATGCATCATTTTTCAGGCTCTACCCAAATAATCTTTATCAAAGCCAATGCAGACCATGCCATTCCCTGTTAGAAACCTTAGGCACCCCTCGTTGATCTGGCACACCAGGCCCTTCCTGAGCTGGCCCCACTATGCCTTTCCAGAGTCATCTCTGCCCCTTCCCACTGCACTGCCCACATCCTGGCCATTCTTCTGCTTTGTTTATGGGACTGCATCAGCTGAGAAGCTCCCCTTCCTCCTCTTGGCCCAAGAAACAGGACCCTGCCATCCACCACCACACTGCCACCAACATCACCCTCCTCCCCCGATCATCAAGGTCCTCTTCCAACGTCATCTCATCTGTGACACCTTCTTGGACTTGCATGCAACAGCCCTGCACTGAATTCCCACAACACAGCATAAATTTTCTATCAGGCAGGGATTTTGCTTAATAGATTCCCAATTCCTGGCATAGAGCCATATATACAAATAATTAATAATGGCCAACAAATGATAGAAAACAGTCAATGCTCATAGACGGAGTGATCAGGTTAAATGATGGCAAGAATGCAGAGTGTGCAGTTGATTTTAGAATGATTTACGTTCATGAACATTTGCATTCGTAAAAAGTGTTGTGCTTAAAGAGGTAAATTTCAGTTATATGGAAATATACTTCCATGGCACACCTCATTCCCTCCCAATTCCAGAGGAATAAAGACATTGTTTTAAACAATCAACTCCAGGCCCTGGTCCCCAGCCTTAGTTCATAGGCGATCTCTATATAACCAGAAGATAGAGTTTACATATATAAATTCTACAAATTCTGTATGCCATGTACCTTTTCGGTGGTCATCTCAGTGGGCGGTCCGCACTTACCGGGACGGCCCCGCAGTGGAGCCAGGCGGGCTGAGGGACGTGAGTGATGTGGGCTGGCTGGCTCCTTGATGTACCACCTTGCACGTCGTAGTGTAGGGCTCAGTTTCCTCAGCTATAGAAAGGACACAACATGGCTTATCAGACGGGATGGTTTAACAGGAACACAGTTAAACTCTTTGGACTAGGATCTCATTAAATTTGAATATGGATGGGAGCGAGGGTGAAGTTTACCTTTGTACTATTCATGAAAGAAAAGGTTTAGAAAACCAAGAACCGTATCAACCACATTGCTGGGTGGAGGGATGTGAAAATACCTAAGCAGATAGACTGTCTTTCAGCCACTTCAAACACCAGGAAAGCATATATTTGCACATAGATGAATGAACTACCTCCGCCTGGAACAGCTTTTCCGTGTTCCCCTTGTGCCTAACTAACTTTTACGTACCCTTCAAGTCCTGCCTTACCTCTCATTCCCCATGGAAGTCGCCACTGACCCCTAGACTAAGTGACTCACTTCTATTATACTCTCAGACGACCCTACATTCTCCTTTTTTTTTTTTTAATTTATTTATCAGAGTGAGAGAGAGAGAGCACAAGCGGCATGCAGAGGGAAGTGCAGGCTCCCCACCGAGCAGGGAACCTGATGTGGGGCTCAATCCCGGGACCCTGGGATCATAACCTGAGCTGAAGGCAGACACTTAATGACTGAGCCACCCAGGTGCCCCTCCTCTTTCTTTCTTTCATCAACTATGTATTAAATGCCTACTTTGCAGTAGATTCTATGTTAGGTGATGACGTCGACACAATTTTCTGCGCAAAGCAACTCACTGCATCCCGCTCGTGTGTATACAGAACCCCCATAATGCTTTGCAGCCCTTGTCTATGGAGGTATTGTTCTCCAAAACCAGGCTGTAAGCTCCTCGAACTCAGAGTTGGGGTCTTGCCCATCTGACATCACCCACAGCGGCACAATGAGTGGCACAGAATAAGTATTTCATAAGTACCTGTGGAACGGTGAGAACATTTCCATCGCCTCAGAAAGAAACCCGTATCATCTGCAGTCATTTCTCCTTCCTTATTATTGCATCCCTTGGAAACCACGAATACACCTTCCATCTTTCATATAAATGGAAATGATGTGTTGTTTTCTGTCACATGCTTCTTTCAGGTAACATAATTTTTTTAAGGTTCAGCCATGTGATAGCGTGCGTCAATACTTCATTCCTTTTTATTGCCAAATAATATTCCATTGTATGGATATGCCACATTTTGTTTATCTATTCATCAATCGAACATTTCAGATGTTTTGGCTTTTTGGCTATTATAATCAACACTGCCATGAACATTCATGCACAGGTTTCTCTGTAAACATGTTTTGAATTCTCTGGATGTATATCTGGGAGTGGCATTGCCGGGCTATATGGTAACTATATGCTTAACATTTTGAGAGAAAAAATGTCCAAAATGGCTGCACCATTTAATATTACCGCTAGCGAGGAATAAGGGCTCCAAATCTCCCACATCCTCATGAACATTTGCTATTGTGTGTCATTTATTTTAGGCATCCTAGTGGGTGGGAAGTGGCATCCCCTTGTAGTTTTGGTTTGCACTTCCCTAATGGCTAATGATGTTGAGCATCTTCATGTGCTTTTAGCCATTTGTATATATTTTTGGAGAAACGTCAATTCAAGTCCTTTGCCCATCTTTAAATTGAGGTTATTTGTCTTTCTGGTGTTATTGTTGGTTATTTATTATGTTTGTCTTTCTGGTGTTATTGTTGGTTATTTATTATGGATAAAGTTTCTTACCAGATATATGATATCCTCTCAGTCTATGGGTAGTTTTCATTTTCCTTATGCTGTCCTCTGAAGCAAAAAAAAAATTTTTTATTTTGATGAAGTCCAATTTATCTGTTTTTGTTTTCCTTTTTCATTTGTGTGTTTGGTGTCACAATCCAAGATCATTAAAATGTGTTCCTATGTATTCTTCTAAAAGTTTTATACTTTCAGTTCCCACATTGCAAGTTTATATTCCATTTTGAATTAATTTTTGTACCTGATGTGAGGCAGGAATTTAACTTCATTCGTTTGCATGTGGATATCGACTGATTTCAGTACCATTTGTTGAAAAGAATATTCTTTCTCCAGGGAATGTTTTTAAGAGAAATTAGAGATTCTTCAATAACAGGTGAGATCAGAACTAAGGAAATAGAGTTATTTACTGCTACTGCAGTGTTGCTATATTTAGAAAATAAAAATTCAGGACATCCAGTTAAATTTGAATTTCAGGTAAATAATAACTTTTTAGTATCAGTGTGTCCCAAATATTGCATGCAACATACTTATATTAAAAATAATTTGTTGTTTATCTTAAATTCAAATTTAACTGGATGTCTTGTAGTTTTTCTGGCAACCCTATGTAACGTGTCTCCACTTTATGAACCAAGCTGCTGAGGCCCAAAGAAAGTTATGCATTGCACAGAGATAACTGGAATTGTCACCATTACTGGAATGCCCTCCCAGCATCTGTGTCATGTATCCAATACCATGTGACCTTGAATGTGTTTGTCTCCCAATAACTGAGTTTCTCCTATTGCAAAATTGAATTCTTACTAGAGATAAGAAGAGCCAGTAATTGTATGCAAGGCCTCTTTACACAGTGTCATATGCTTGCTAATTTAAAAAATTAAAAAAACAAAACAAAACACTAAACTATCCTGTGATTTTGAGGTTTCTTTACACTTCCCTGACAGTTTTAGAGTCAGCCATTCCCTTTCTTCTCCATTCCATTTTGGTTTTTTTACAGGTAAGAAATTGAAAAGGCCTAGAGGATTGAGATGTAGTCCTGATATCTTCTATAATTGATATATACTCTGTTCAGGAAGAAAATCTCTACTTGTCCTTTAAAGGTGGCAAGCAATTTTTCAACAAGTTGACCAACATTCTCCCTTCTGTCGAGAGAGGACAGAATGTCCATCAGCCTCCAAGTAGACTTGCATCCATGCCCCTCAGGTCAGGTGTGGCTGGTTATCTAAACATAGACTGTGAACCAGGTAGCAGAGGCTGCTGGGTAGACCAGGCAACCACATTGAAGCAAGCTGTGGGAACTGCTCTTGGTATACCAGAATCTATGTCAGAATTATGGTGGAGACCTTGACCTTTACAGGTTGAAACCAGAAAGCATCCTGTGCCTACTTTGTAAAATCCATGATTTAATAGATAGCACCATTGTACATCCATAAATGGTCTACTATTTTCTCCATTAAGCACACATGTTCCAAGATTTATAAATTGCTGCATGACTCTCTATCAGATCTGTTTGATCCTTTTGGAGGACAAAACTTAAGTGCTACAGAAATGAGACATTTATGATTTTCTGATAGAATCTTTAAATAACAGCAGGTCCAAATGTCCTTTTTTTTTTTTTGACCATTTCTCAAGATTTCAGAGCAGATCCCTTTATACAGAAAAGATCTGAATATGTATTATCTTTTAGCACTTGCTAAAATTCCTTCTTTATAGTTCCCACTTGAAAAATTCCTAGAAAGAGTAATGATTCTTTACAAGTTATTTACCTAATTGATTCATGTGGCCTCTAAGTATAATTGTGAGATATTTACAGGATCTCAGGTCCCCCTGGAAAAGTCCTGATAATGATTATAATAAAACCTTAGCAAATTTTATTGAAGGGAGCCAAAGTAAAAAATAATCCAAAGAATTCTAAATTCTTTGGGATTGGGATTATTTGAAAGGTTGGGATTATTTGAAATTTTATACACAAATATCTATCTAGTTACCTAAAAATAAGCATATTGTTTCCTCAAAAGTGTTATGGTGATGGCCAAACTTTTAAAACTCCCTTAGAGTCTGAGATATTTTTTAAGAGAAAAAGTTCTTATTTTCTTCTGATTACAAATTGTAAAACACAAAATATAATTTAAAATACTTTTAAATACAGCCGGTATTTTAACCAAGGTCTTCTGCTTCAAATACAACCACACACAACATTTAGATGAAACATTATTGTAACCAATATTGGTTTAATGAGAGTATATGGCTTAAATTAACATTATTAGCAAGGTTAACAACTTTGGCATTGATAGCTTTGGTGTGGTTGATATTAACGTCAATAATAAATAAGGAGAATGTTGACTGAAAGAAGCTGAAGACCTTGGAAAGCAATAAAAACTTTGGCATGCAAGGAGGGTCCTTTCTGAAGGACACATTTACAAGAGGCATGGCAGTTGGTTGATAATCTGCATCATTGCCAGGACAATCACATACTCAGGGGTGTATGGGTGAGGATCCATTTCTTCCAGCAGCCAGAGCTCAGACACCCCAGATTGTGGTTATCTCTGTCCTTGATGTTACAGCCTCTGGGGTCAGGAGTCCAGCTTGGAAACAGCTCCTCAATTACCCATTTATAAGGAGCCTTTCTGTGTAGCACCCTTGACATGTCCAGATTTCATGTTATCTTCCCTTTGATCTATAACAGTGTTTGAGCTTTGTCAAAACACAGGAGGCAGTGGGGAATCTTGTCAGGTTACCATAAAAGCCGAGCTAATTAAGTCATTGGACCCTTCATAAAAATCCCGCATGATGGCAAGTTGGTCTTCCTTTAGCTGAATAAAAGCAAGAGGAATTCTGGTACAACTAGGAAACTCTACAACATCTAAGTTAAGTACTCACCATCTCCTCTCTCTTTACTTCTACTTTTAAAATGTGCCTTAGAGGTTGGGAAGCTTTCAGATCAAAGTATACAAAAGGACCATTAAGTATCTCTCACTGTAGATTCTGCTGCACGTGAACTTATACTTGGACAGGAGAATTCAGAGTAGCTGCAGGCTCTTCTTGCAGGCTCTGCCTAGAGAATTCAAATTCATTCTTCAGGATTCTGCTCCTAGTTTTGCCTCATCTCTTAGCCACTCTGGCATCCATTTTCTTTACGTGTAAAATTAAGAAGTTAGATGAAATAATAGAACTCTAGATAATTTCCCACTTCCAATCCTATGATTTCCAAATGATTTCTGGGAAAAAAAATCACTCCCACTTTTACTGAAGCTCTCCTGTCATTGGTGCCCAAGGGGAGGACAGGTGTGCTTGAATGTTGGGGAGGGGAAGGTGAGGGAGGGGCCAGGAAGGTGAGAAAAAAGCTCAAGGTCAATCAAAGCCTAGGCTGTGGTTTCCTGTCTGTCCTGAAAAAGGGGATTTCCCAAACTGCAGAGCCAAAGCCTTACTTATCACTTGTTACTCCACTCTGGATAACAATCAGCATAATTAACAATGGGTGTGCGCCACACAATCCAAAAGACCCAATGCTATTTGGCAACAAAAAGTTTCAAAAAGGAACTGTTGGCTCCCTTTTGTCTGCGCTTAGGTACAGATGAAAAACAGAGAAGTCAATTAAAATCATCCTACCAACTCTCCATTACTTAAACAAAAAAAAAGAGGTGAAAATAACTCCAGACTACGTAATGCATTTGAAGACAGTAACAGTTCTTAGTGTTTGCAGAATGTTTACTGAACGCTGGGAGAGAAGCTGGTTGTTTACAGAACTTCCTCATTCCAGAAAGATCTGTGACTACCTAAGCAGTTTGACTGTCCCCTGTGTGCAAAGGATGTGTTTTTTGAGCACACAAAAGAGAAGGCCATCCAGTGTCTCCCATGAGGTACTGTGTGGGAGGGAAACTCATTCTTAGCCAAATCACTGTCCTACAATGAAGCGCCTTACATGACCTGTGGGAGAATGAGTCAAGAAGCATCAAATCCATGAGAACAGCTTGTATTTATTTATAGCAGAAATCAGAGGATTGAGAACACATGGCTGGATCAGGAGCCAGAGTACCATGTATTAAAGCTGAGTGCCTACTAAGTGCCAGCCATGCTTTAGGCCCTAGGGACTCAGGGCAGAAACAAAGCCAACAGGGTCCCAGCCCTTACTGGAGCTTAGAGTTTAGCAAATGAGGCAGATGGTAAAGGAATCGAGCCAGGCTGAGAGTTCCTGGCTGTGCAGATATCCGGATTTTCCAAGCTGCAGAGATAGTTGGTCTTGAGTACAAGGTGCCAAAGAAGACGAGTTGGTCCCTTTTTGGTGGCATGAGACCTCGCACAACATCCATCCTCAGGCCCCTCAGGGTGCATAATGGGAATAAATGGTGTCATATTCTGGGTCTCAATGTTTTACTAGTGATCAGGTACTTCCATACATTATCTCATTTAAAAACGGGGTCACTGATGGAGCCTGAATACCATATAATTGTGGTGGTGTTCCACTAGTAACGAGAATAAGCTTGGGTTCTTACAGGGTCTCAGCTAAGTGGATGGCTGGAGGCCAAGGGGCAGCATGGTGTCATGGAGCATATCCTGGGTGTCCCAACTCCCCACCCCAGTATCACTATGCCAACCTGGGGCAGGGGGGAGATGGCGGGGGGAGAATGTGCAAGTGATTTGCCTTATATTAAGCTCAGAAATGTGGCCTTATTCTCCCTGTCCTCTCCCAATACAGCTTCTTAGATCAGACATCCTATCACTGAGGCTTGAGTGTGGGGACTGTAATTTTACTAATGTCAAGATTGTTTTATAAGCTACAATGTAAAAAGTTAAATGCACATATTCAAATTCCCACTAAATATGGATTTCCCTGGACAACTAACAAAGCAGTTCAGTAGACGAAGAGAAGATTTAGTTTTAGGAGGCCTAAAAATAAAATGAGCCACTAGCATCTTTACCCAGTAACACCAAAGACTAATGATAAATTAGAAGGAGAAATTCACTGATGGGCTATTTATTAGTATCCATGCAAAGCCCTTCACCAGCACAGTTTCCCCATTTCCCATTTTTCTTCCTTCAGTGTAATTTAATAACAGGAAAAAATATAAAATTAGAAAAAGTATAAAAATATTTCTGGCACAGTTACATTTAACATTAAGTTCTAACCAAAATTTGCTCAGAACAAAAGAGAATCTGGAAACCATGTAAACACTCCAACTGTCTGAATGAGTAAGGTAGAAAGTGGGAGGCAGATAGAATATATGGTAAAAGAAAGTATATGATTCATATTGTTGATAAAAATAGTTGTCCTTTAAACTAAAAATTTTCAATAATGCCTAAAATAAGTCATTGTCCAGGAACTTAATGGGGTCAAAATCTTTGCTGTGTCTCTTAAATTACCAGCCAATATTTTTTATTTCTTTTGGAGTAGGTTTTTTTTCTTTAGGTTTTTTTTTTTTAATAGTTTAAAAAGATTTCGTTGAATTCTCTCCCACATAGCATTTAACTCTTGAAATATGGTCATTTAAAGGCATTTTGGATCTGACTAAATATTGGTGCAGCAGTGGGTAGTGGAAAGAGTGAAGGTGGGGGCCATTCATCATCTTTGTCTTCTTAATCTATGCACAGAGCCCACTGAGATCCTGGAGGAGCATGATTTGTTAAAGTCACACTCTTCTGGTCATACTGGCACCCCTTCGATCATTTAGGCTAACCCCATTTTTTTTTAGAGAGAAAGAGAGAGAGCATGGGTGGGAGGAGCAGAGAGGGAGAGATCAAATCTTATGTGGGCTCCATGCTGAGCGTGGGCCCAACGCAGGGCTTGATCTCACCACCCTGAGATTATGACCTGAGCCGAAATCAAGAGTCGGACACTTAACTGACTGAGCCAACAAGCACCCCTCCCCTGCTTTTTTTGAGGCAATGAAAGAGAAACATCAATAGTTGGAGTGTGCTGAATTAGAGGTAGGGTTTTGATAGAGGTGGGGAGAAGAGGACTATGCTTTTCATGCATTTCATGAAGGAAACAATGTGAACAATTGTGGGCATGGGGTCAGGAGGACAGAACAGTTTACAGTAGCCCAGTTTGGCTGGTGCAAAGACATGAAGCAATGAAGAAAAGGAAAGGAAAGTAGGTTAGGGCAAATTGGTGAGATCTCCACCACAATTAAATGATACGGACCTCAGGCATGTCTATAGGTCTCGGCTAATTCATCTGTAAAACTATAAATTGGGAATCTACCTCATGTTTTTTTTCCCCAACTCCACATTTTCAAATGCCACACTACAGACTTGAATATGAGAAGAGGTTGGTACACTGATTCAAGAGTCCTTGACATAGAGGTGACCTTTAAAGCAGTGGTTGGTGAACTTACCAAAGGATAATGTGCAGAGAGACTAGAGGACCAAGAGTAAAGTATGAGGTCACACCCATGGTCAAAGGGAAGAAGAAAGAAGCGGACCACCAAGGAGGTTAAAGTATTGTGTGGAGAGGAAGAACAAAAGTCAGGATGGGACCCTCCCAACAGGGTCATTACCACAAGAAATCAAGAAAGATGGAAAATGCTCAAGGAAATGGGATTTGGCACTGAAGATCTGATTGCCGATCTTTAAGAGAACACAGTTTGTAATAAGCATGACTAAGAACAAGCAGCCCGTAGACCTGGCCCACACTGAGAATGACGAAGTAAGACAAATTCCAGAACACTTCGTTCTCAGATGCTGCATTCCAGGTAACATGCCCATTGATGTTTTGAAGTAGGTAAGTTTGGCAAGATCAAGAAATCCAGATGAACAGAACTGAAACTCCTCAAAAGGAACTGAACAGCTTGCTCACCATTTTGACTCACTTCATGCCACTAGGGTTAGCTGGACCAAGAGGGAGGTTGGACCATGCCCATCTCATGATTCGTTTCTTGCCTCTAATGGAGAAGAGGGTTTACAGGGGTGATGCCTGATTTAGGAAGAGCCTGAGTGTTACCCAGTGCTCCCTGGTCCAGCCCTTTCTTCAAAAGTAGAGAAAACAGAAGAATAATTAGGAACAAATGAAGGTGCCAGAAAAAAAGAGGAAGGTTAAAAGCAGGCTCTTGGCAATGACCCTGAATCCTTGGGTGACCATCTCCCCACAGAGATGAAGTGAGGAACCATCATGGGGAGCAAGACCCCTGGAAGGAATGGGTATATTCCTTCCCAAGTCATTCATACCCAATAATAAGCACACACCAGATAACACACACATTGAAGGCTGTGGGCTGTTGGAAGCAGACATGGGCCTGTGGGAATCCCCTGAACCAAGGCATGAGAAACATTCTTTTCCTTAACACCTGTAACACTCTCCAGGATGACTGTTTCTCTTAAAGCCATAGGTGTCTGTTTTCACATTTGCTCCTTGGAGACAGAAACAGGATTACGATATATGATGTTTTTTCCTCATTTCCTGCTATGTGTTGTTTTAACTTTCTGTGACAGCTCTTCTATTCTTGCCTCCAAATGGTGACTCTATGTATGGCAACCCCCCACCCCTACCCATGTTGATGGGCACAGACTTACAATGGGAATGTTTAGGGCATGGAATGTTCTGTAACCAGTGATTTTTCATCTGCTATTTTTGAAAAAAAAAAAAAAATCTTTCTACACATTTCAAGCCCACTTTGCTAGTGCAATATAATGACCAGATAGAATCTCTCTTTGAAGATTAGGAATCGCATTCAGCTTCAGAGTCATCATTTAGATCATCATTTGGGTCATCACTGACCTCAGTGCCATGAGCCATGGGACAAACACTGAGGATTGGAGCCAGAAGACGTGGGTTTGAGGATCAACTCTACTTGAGGAGCTGAGAGGTTCAGAACAAGTTGCTTTAAAAACAAAACCCAAAAGACAAAACACAAACTCTAAGTTCTCAGTTTCCTTCTCTGTAAAGTGGGGATAAGAAGCAAATCGACTTGAGGCGCCTGGGTGGCTTAGTCGTTAAGCCGCCTTTGGCTCAGGTCATGATCCCAGGGTCCTGGGATCAAGCCCCGCATCGGGCTCCCTGCTCGGCGGGAAGCCTGCTTCTCCCCCTCCCACTCCCCCTGCTTGTGTTCCCTCTCTTGCTGTGTCTCTCTCTGTCAAATAAATAAATAAAATCTTTAAAAAAAAAAAGAGGCAAATCAACTTACTTCACAGGATTATGTGAAGATGATGAAAATCCTCTATGAAAGCATTTCCATTAACTTAAAACACTCTGTAGCTGCAAGGGTTTTATAACTAGAGATGTAGCTCTAGGGGTATAGGAGCTCAGGCTAAATCTTCACAGTTGAGTTCGAAAAGTTGGCTGATAAAAAAAAAAACCCCACATTGAGTTTGAGTTTTTACTATTTATCTTTTTGTCCACCAAGTGAGATGCTAGGGAAAAAAAAATAAATCGAAGTTGTTTTCCAGTTAGCTGCCAGTGCCCCCAAACACCAGGTAAGGAAACTAAGACTTAGAAAGTTGTTGTTTGTCTGTTTTTATTTATTTATTTATTTATTTATTTTAAAGATTTTATCTATTTTTTTGTCAGAGAGAGAGAGCACAAGCAGGGGGAGCGGCAGGCAGAGCAGGGAGAGGGAGAAGCAGGCTCTCTGCCAAGCAAGGAGCCCGATGTGGGACCGATCCCAGGACCCTGGGATCATGAGCTGAGCCGAAGGCATATGCTTAACCGACTGAGTCACCCAGGCGCCCCTTGTTTGTCTGTTTTTAAGTGACTTGCTCCAAATCTCACAGTTAGCAAGTGTAAGCACAAGATTCACACCTGAAATTCAGGTCTGCAGAAATAGGCTGCCAGAGGTTCTCGTTTCATACTGGCTTAAACCAAAGAACAGGTGCAGAAAGATCACAGACGGGGCATCTGAATGAAGGCCCAGTGCCAGGACCTAGACTCGGAGGTGAGGGCCTCCCCACGACTCCTGGGAGAGCCTCCCCCGGGAGAGGTGCTCATTCTGACGGGAGAAGCCTGAACTGGGAAGTTGGTAGGCGGGATGCTTGGGGATGCCACAATGGCGGGGACACACACCAGCTGCCTTCTAAGTCAGCCCCTCTGGCAGCTTGGGCCAAATCCCCAAGCAGAGGAATAACTCAGATTCATGAGTCAACAAAGTCATAGCATGGAGCTCTGTGAACAATGGACGGGGCAAGCCTATAAAAAATTCCATTGCTGGGCGGAGAAGGGCCCCTCTCCCCCGCAGTCAGCCCTGGGGCTGACAGAGACAAGCAACCAAGACTTGTGCGGGTAACGTCACAAGACACTGCGGGGCCTGCACTGACGACGTGGCCCATTACACCTCCTGATGCCGCGCACAAGTGACTTACACGGTGTTATTACTGCACGGTGTTATCATGGCACACATTTTCTTCTCTCTTTAGCTCTTTCCGTGCTCCCACCAGTGCCTGTGTTTGAGTCAAAAGTTTAAAATCTAAACTTTGGATCTAAGTTTTTCTCATTATTCAGCCCCTCTCCATGGGACCCCTGTTTTCCTTCTAGCTATACTTCCCCTGCCCTGAGAAGACGCAGCACACGTGATGTGGTGGGTACGTGCAGAGGCTTCTCGAGCAGACAGAAGTGGGCCTGACCCCTGGCCCTGACTTTTACCACCCCCAAGACTCCAGAGAGGCGCTCAGCACCAGGTCCGTGTTGTTAGATGAGAAGAACAGGAATGCAGGTGTCATTCAAAGTTGAATTTCACATCATTGCTCACTACCCCTTCCCTTTCTAATATCTCTGTAAAATTTAACATCCTTAAAATCCCTACCTTTGCAGTATGGTTGGTTTGTTGTTGTTTTTTAGGGGAATTACATTTTCCGGCTAGGAAATCTTGAACTTTGCCAGACATATGTGAATAAATCAGTTGCCTAGTCACGTTCTGCTTTCCCGGGATGTTGCGAGAATTCGTGAGATGAATCCTGTAAGACACAACCTACTCTTGGAGAAATACGATATATTAATAACACATTTAACAGAATGTTCTTTTCACAAAAGGCAAGTCACTGGCCATTCACTGGTTTCAGATCGGCCCATCCCTGCCGTGGGAGACAATGCTGTGTTCTCCATCACCCACGGCAGCTTGACTCTTCTGTGGGCGCACACATCTCCACTGAACAGTAGTCAAGTTTCTGATTAGCAATGTTGCCAAATGAGTAGGATTCTTTCCTCAAATGTGAGTCTAACAGATTGCTAAGAAACTTACTCAGATTTCCCTCTCCAACTTTGTTTCTACTCTGCCTATCTTCTCCCACCATTCTGGGGGAGAATCCCAAATCCATTCCATAAAACTGGAATTTTGCTGTAATGAGAAACCGGGTCAGTCAGTGTCAGCAGCAACTATCAATACCTATGAAGGCTAAAAAGTAAATTCAGTATTTGGACATAGCATTGGCCATGGTTCTAATTATGTAGTATTGTTTTTTTTTCATTCCTGTCTTCTCTATTCTGTGCTATTGTACCTGCAACTCCGGGCTGAGCAGAAATGTCTTCTGGAAACACAGTGCTCAGAAAAGAGGAGAGCAGGTTGACACAGGCAGTCAAAAACCATCTTTTTGATAAAATGCTGCCCTTTCCCTCTAACTATGAATAACAATAGCAAAGGCCTAATTAGCTTAGTCAAGTCTATTGGAAGGAAAGCATCACTGACTCTCCAAAGGCGGGTTCCGAGAAGCTGCTGCCAGCCCCAGACTCAGCAGCCTGGAGGTCCCCCATGCCACAAGTGGGGCTGGCCAGAGCCTTCCTCTCCTGGAAAACGAGGTTTCTGTTTAGGCCCCTGGATATAGTATTGGTGACTCCCTCTCCTCCTTTTCTCTTGCTCTCTTCCTCTCTATCCTGACGTGGCAAGTGGTACCAGTCTCTTTTTGCTTTATGTCCATTTTGTTCTTCTGATGGAGGAGAGGAGAAGGACAGGAGGGGGGCCATGAATGATGTCCTCACTTTGTGCCTTCTCCTAGGTGACAGTTCACGCGAGGCCAGCAAGTGGGCTGTTCTCAGAATTGTTTCCCAAGAGCTTTGCTTTATTCTGTTTCCCCATAAGCCTCCCTGACTTATTTTCACTGTTGAGAAACTTGAACTCTTGGTGGAATGAATGTGAGGAAAACATTTTCTGTTTGCTTTCTTTTATTTTGTTTGTTTGTTTTTATTCTGGGCCCACTATAAAATCTCTTAGCAAGTCATTATGTTTTCATAAGGAAAACCCAAGCTTTTGTCTAGTGATCCTTCCCTTTGTTCCTATACAAGAAAGAGGCCTGGGAAGATTTCCTGGTACCATCAGGGGACATCACTGACCCACCAACAGGTCACTATGGTGGGTACATGATGATAGCGAAAGGCCATGAGTGGACGGGGATGCCATCAGGGGACATCACTGACCCAGCAACAGGTCACTATGGTGGGTACATGATGAAAGCGAAAGGCCGTGAGTGGAACGGGGATGCCAAGAGTAACTATTCAGCCCTCAAGGAAGAATTCCAGTAGGACCCTTCATCTGTAAAACAGATTAAGGTGCTGATTTTGTTGACTTCAAAGCATGACAGTTCTGGCCAAGCTTTTCTCAATAACGCCATCAGAGCAGGCAGAAGGAATCCTATTCTCTTGATGCAACTGGAGGCATGATTCTCAATACCATGGGGTGGGAGTATGTACTTTTTCCACTACACGTGGCCCTGCCCACCTAGAATCATTGCTCTTGAGGAGAAATGCTGCTCACTCATGAGAGTGAGCTATTGCTCGATGGTGAGGAGGTTAAACAAAACAAAGCAAAACAAAACTGTTGGGAACCATTAGAATCTGCTGTGTGTGTGTGTGTGTGTGTGTGTGTTTGGCCCGTGAGAAAAATTATTCTCAGCTCTCAGACTTTCCTAAAGTATGAACAATGTTAAGAGATCCAACTTTTGATTTGGACTTGGGATTTTAAATTTAATGTGACATATTAATGAAAGCAATGTGCGGTATTTACTCAAATCATAGTTTTCTTCAGGGTAGTGCAAGATTCAGTCATGGATAAATCAGAAGCGTTCTCCAGACTCTGAAAGACAAGAGGACCAGAAATCACAATGGTGGTGGGGGGGACAAAAAGACACTACTCAAAAAAAAGTTATTTAAGTTTGAGAGGCAAACAATACTATTTGAGGGAAGTATTAAAAGCCGTGCAAAGTCATAAACTCTATGAAGGCAAACAGTTACATGCATCTTCTCACCCTCATGGCACGGAGTATATGTGGTGGCACTGGGGACCCTCATGGAGCTGGAGCCCTGCACTCTTGGTCGCTGAGCATGCTTCTCTCCTGAACGTCAAGCCATATGATGGCTCAACCCTTTATATACATTTGGATGTAGCTAAGTTATGTTTTCATTAGTGGTAACTCAAGTGAATTGAGAAACATGACAGATCAAGCCTAACATTTTAGCGAGTTTCAATAACACTGGTTTGATTTTAGAAGGACACACATTTTTCCATTTAAAACATTTCTCTGAGGGCTCTAAAGGATCCAGTGCATTTTTTATAAAGGTGAAAATGTATTGCTGGGCAAAATGAAAAAAATTGGGATGCAAATGTAAAATTTTCCTTAAATCCAGGTACATGGAATTATGAAGATTCCATAGAAACTTTCTGGGAGCTATTATTTACTGAGTGCTTGCTATGTGTCAGACCACCTGGTTTATAAATGTTGGATGAATGAATGAATGAATGAACAAATTAACAGTCCTAGAGAATACTTACTAATGTTTCCTTTTTACCAATGAGGAAACTGAGGCTTGGGAGGCTGTAAGAAATCACCCCATCTGATAATCTTGGAATAAAATTCAAACCCAAACTCTCTGATTCTATGTGATGTAAAAGAGATTCAAAACAGTGCTGGGAACAATCACATATCCTAAAAACCCCTCCGCCTTAGGCCAGCTGATGAAGATAGCTTTTATTTTTCTCCTTGAAGTTCTTAACTTCCCCCAATGAGTGCCAATGTCCTCATTCATTTTCTCATATTACTCATCTCCTTTACCCACAAAATTCTGGTTGAAATTAGTGGAATCTTCATGCTTAGGAGCTTCTAATGACATAAAGAACTGGGAATACTAACCCAATGTTCTGATCTTTTAAAAAAGCCCAGACAGAAAAGAATATTGGCCCCAGCGGTCAAAACCCAGACAACTCCAGTTTTGATGGGACAGCTCCCAAAAAGTTCAGATGCTTCCCTGAACTTATCCAAACCTTGGGCGGTCTCCTGCTTTTCCGGAGGGAACATGCTTGGTGGATGATGCACCAAGTTTGAAACACATGGAGAATGCCCTCCATAGGGACTCTTGGGTCTTATGTGAGGTTAAATCCCAATTGCACATCAGGCTGCCATGGTATTTTTTTCTCTGGAGAAATATAAGCAGGCTTTGTTGTGTTGCAAATGAAATCTCAACCACACAGAAAGCACTGGAAGTTATATTAGGTGAAGTTATTCTGTTTACCGTCTTCATTTATTAAGCACCTATCATGGGCCAGATACTTCCCTAGATGCTTTACCTATGTTATTTTCTTTAATCTTGTCAACAAACCCACAACATAGGTGTTATCTCCACTTAACAAATAAGAAAGTGAGGCTCAGGTTGATGAAGTAACATGCCCAGAGTCATATGACTTACAGGTGGCAGTTGGGATTGGAACCAATTCCGTCCATGTCCAAAATGTGTGCACTTAACCACACCATCATGTGCCTTGATCAGCCCAGAAAGACATGAGCAAAGATTTCATTTGTGGGTGGATTTGTACCCTAGCTTTATTTCCATTTGACTGCAGCCTCCTCTGGTCCATTCCAGAAGCAGGGATGGAAGTAGTGGAGCTGGCGGGCACCGCTGGTTCTCATATAGCAAACATAGGCAACGTGGTCAAGTCACTGGGCAGAGGTCACCAGCTTCAGGCCAAGTGACAGAAGTTAATGAGTTCCAAGGCAAAGCAAACCATCAACTGGCTAGAACCTCTGAGAAGCCATCAGAAAAAAGTCTGACAAGATAGACTAAGAAATTCACGGGTGACTTTAGAAATCAGAAATAAATCAGGAAGAAAAAACAATTGATGTGCAAGCCAATTCCCTAAACACTGGAACCTCACAGAATCATTAAAAGTCCCCATAACTTGGGCCTGACTGAAACTGTGGTCCCTTCACTGTAGTAATTTAAATCAACTATTTATTTTGGCTTCCCTTCTCAATGACTTGTTCTAATCGAAATGCTTTGATGAGATGTACAAAAGGAATAAAAATATGATTGAGAAGCCAGAGAGTAATATCTAGGTTTAAAACAATTGTGAACATAAACTTTAATCTCTGGCCATGTTATAAGGGCTATTTTGACTGACTAGGGCAAAGACCTTTAAGATACTATTTAGAAAAGAATTTTGGGTTTCAGAGTGGGTGTAAATGCATTCTAACACTACCCTTACAGAACGTATTTCCACTAAAATGCCTCTTATTCCACCTATAAATCAATGCACATTTGATATCTCAAACTCCATGTTTTAGAGGCTTTTATAATTATGGCTTATAAGAAGCCTAGGTCAGCTTCATGCTGAGTTTGAGCAATATCTGGGGGACCTGGGTTTCTCCTACAAGCAAACCCGTGGGTTTCCCTCCTGCTTTACGTGAAGTACTTCCATTGATCTATCTAAAATTCATCTGTGGGTGGTGTGCTTACCTGAACTGGATATTATCTTTCTGAAGCCAATAGCAACAATAAAAAAACAAGTGTTACTATTTATTAAAATATTACCATATGTCAGGTATCTTCTAGCAGAACTGGGTTTGAAGCCTGGCCAAGCTATTTGACTACCTGTGAGATCATGGATAAGTTACTTATCTCTCAAATCATCAGTTTTCTTATCTACAAACTAGTGATAATACATTGGTTTGAGAAAGATGAGTACCATATGATTTCACTTATATGTGGAATCTAAAAAACAAATGAACAAACAAAAATCAGACTTTTAAATACAGAAAGTCAACTTGGTGGTTGTCAAAGAGGAGATGGGGGAGGGATGGATAAAATAGGTGAAGGGGATTAAGAGATACAAACTTCCAGTAATAAAAAAAGTAAGTCAAGGAGATTAAAAATACGGGAACTTCCTCAATTAGCTCAAGTATAGGGAATATAGTCAATAATACTGTAATGATGTTGTATGGTGGCAGATGGTGACTCTACTTACCGTGGTGAGCAGTGAGTCGTGTCTAGAATTGTCGAATCACCATGTTGTACACCTGAAACTAATATAACATTGTATGTTAATTATACTTCAATTAAAAAAAAAAGAGCTGCAAGCAGAACCTGAAAACTAAAGGAGACTTAAAAGACTAAAAACCAAAAACCCCAACAACCCAACATTGGTTTGTGCAGAAAAGTCAGTAAGATAACATATGCTGTATTAGCTTGCTAGGGCTGTCATAATACCACAGAGTTGGTGGCTTAAACAAAAGAAATTATTTTCTCACAATTCTGGAAGCTAGAAGTCCTGGATCAAGCTTTCAGAGGGTTGATTTGTTCTAAGGCCTCTCTCCTTGGCTTGTACATGGCTGTCTTCGCCTCCAAGTCTTCACATGGTCTTTTCCCTGTGTGTGTCTGTGTGTCCTAATCTCTTCTTCTTTTATACAAGGAGACCAGTCAAATTGAATTAGACTTATCCTAATGACCTCACTGTAACTCAATTATCTTTCTACAGACCTTGTCTCCACATATAGTCACATTCTGAGGTGCTAGAGGATTTCAACATATGAATTTTAGGGAGAAAATAATCCTAAAACAAATGTGAAATGCCTAGAACATGGCACACTTTCAATAAATGCTAGCTCCCCTCTCCTCTGCACTTCCAAGGTTTGGTGTAAAGAAGACACGGAGCATGAGGTACATGGTCTTTGAGTGTTAAAATGGGATGTCCATTGCTATGCATTGGCAGGCCTACAGTTTAAAAACAGGCAAACTAGACTTCACTTTACAGCTCAAAAAGTGTATGTCAAGGTACAAGGAGGAGTTTTTACTTCCAGAGCTCTCAGGTCCCATTGATTTAACTTCTACTCAAAGGCAAGCAAAAAACTAGAATGACAGTGACAGGGATGATGATGTAACAGGGTGGTAACAGCAGCTCACTTTTACTGAGGACAGACACATATGAAGCTCTTCAGATGCATTCTCCCATCTCATCTACACATCTTCTACAAATGAGTAGCTGTGTGTGGTCTTTCAAATAAACTGAAGATTTTTTTTTTTTAAGGAGAACACATGAGGAATTTCTGCATGTAAGAAAGGGTAAAATCAATGTTGATTTCATGAGAAGACTCACCAGCCCAGATGATCGTTGTCACTCTAACTGTAGTTTTTGCTGATATTTAAGGACACATAAATCATATCCGAATTGACTAGAAAATGCTGACATCCACTTTTGGAACCAGAGCATGTTCTGGAGTGCAGAGATTCCTGGATAGATGTCGATTGGCCAGGAGAGCTGGAGATGACCTGCTTTTGAGTCCTTCTCTACTTAGCACACTGCTCTGCATGCCATGAAGACAAAGAAATATCTGCGGAAGAAATGATGCACCACCCCACTGGACTTCCGAGTTGCTCTCTCCCTTCAGGATCAGCATGGCTAACAGCTCTGATGGACTCACTGATCAAACAGCTGTCTGTGCCCCTCTTCTGGACACTCAAGAGACCCCCAAGAACACATTGCTGCAGAAAGAGGGAGGCCACCACTTGGCTCCTTTGTAATTTACTCTCAAGTGCTTTAGGGATTTTGAACAAGAATCTCAGTCATGTGAACGTATCTGTAAAACAGTTGTTGGGAAAGTAGAAAAAGCAAATGTTGACATTTCCAAGGTTTTTATTTAATGGCACTTCTACATCCACCTCCCGACAGAGACAGATGTGGCGGCTGCCACTGACAGTGATGGAAACACACATTTTGAAATGTTGCAAGTCATAGAAACATCTAGGCCATGGTAATGCCTGTTGGATTCTGCTTTTCCTGCTTCTGTCAGAAGAGGCAGGCTGCCTCTTCCTCAATTAGCTCAATGCAACCACCCATCAGAAAGGGTCAAGTGGGCATTGCTTTGGGTAACTCTTCCAGACTTGAACAAAGGCACAGGGGAGACAGATGCATGCAGAGAGCTGCTTTCTGTCAGCTCGCTCTCTGGACATGTTCAGGCCTGCGGGCAGGGCTTTTGAGTTTCTGGCCTGCTGTCAACCCCATTGAGCAGCAGCCTTGGCTGGGTCACACACAACATTTTTTCTGTCTGAAGGATGACCTGGTTAGCAAAGGACAAATAGTAGAGCTCCCAAAAAATAATTAAGTCTTTGGACCCCTTTCTGCAAACACAAATCTGTGTGAGGTTTTCTGGAGCAAATGCTGTAGACTGCATTCCAAAGGCCAAAAGGCAAAACACCACACTGGTCAGTAACCCATGTTCTCTCCATAAATAGCACCATGCCTTTCTGAAGCCATGAGACAGAATATTAGACAGTCCCATTCCTGGTACCAGCCGGATGGAAGCTTTCACTAACAGACGTGAATACGACAAGGATGGACAGAGGACCAATTCAGTCAAAGCCCAGTATGTTAAGCAATTCACTTAACTACTTGGGGCCTCGGTTTCCTCAGCTCCAAAGTTAGGCTAATAACTCTGTTCCAGGAGGTAATCCGTTTGACCGGAACACAGTCACTGAGCACCTACCACATGTGCAGTACCATGTTAATGGCTGTTGGTAAAGACCAAGTGAAATGTAAGGGCCCAGCTGAGCAGCCGCCTCATAAAAGGCTTTCCCCAAATGTTTGTTGACTATGGAAGAAGGGTTGGGAAAGAGGTAGCCCTGGGTTTCCTTCGAAAATGTGGATATTTATTCAGATTCTTGAATTATTTATTAAAAGTATTAAAAATCCCTTTCTTCCACTGGCATAATGATTAAGCATTAGAAGCAGACAACCAAGATCCTGGGAATAGAGAGTAAGACAGGAACAGTGAGCTCTGTTCCAGCTCAGGGGGACCTTGACTGAGCTTTGACATATATGAATAGACTCCCAGGAGAATCCATGGCTTTAGGTCTAGGTCCAAATAGGTAAAGAGTGGAGGGGAAAGATGCCAGGGGTGGGGGGTAATGAAAGGGGCAAATTAATTTGTTACAGTGAAAAGTGTAGGATAATTCCTAGGAACAAACTAACAGACGTGTTTATCCTGTGAGCAGCCTTAGTGATTTCAGTGGTTGGCTGGAAGGAGGGGAAAATTGAGCTAGCATTAATCATGCTCCCAAGTTCAACTCCAGCTTCTCACAAAAGAGACAATAACTGGTAACGCCATCCTGGTCCTCATAACATTCAGGGTCAAGGCCTGGCTGGAATTACCCAACAGGATTTCAGATGAGGCCTGGAAACATGTGCATTAGAGCGTCCTCTGGAATGCATGTGGCATGTAGAAATGGATTTTTCTCAATCTAATTTTAAGAAAAATCTGAACTTCATAAGAGTAACTGGGTGCTTTAGAGAATCCCACCCTTTTTTTTTTTTCCTCAAGAGAAGCATTTTGTGCCCCAAACCAGCCAATGGCACTAACCATACCTATCTCAAGCCCAAGTTTGGATAATAGATCCAAATAGAAATCCTTTTTAACCACCGTGTGTCCTCCAGTTGCCTCTTCTTTGTGGTGTGGGATTTCTTTTGGCATTCTCACGCTCCTCTAAGGGTTACCAGAAGGTTAACAAAGATGACCTCGGGAGTTGAGGAGCTGGTGCTTCCAAACATCCCCTGGGCGGGGACTACTGATGGCAGGTCAAAATCAACGTCACTCTTCAGCTGCCTGGTATGCACCTTACGAAACCAGGCATACCCATGCTAAAATAATGAACTGGCCCGCACTCAGGGAAAATCACAAATGTGTTTCTTCTTCCAGTGATATATGGAGAAGCAAAGGGCGGAGGTTGAGTACGGAGAGAGGAGGAGAGGAGGTGAGGCATAGTGGAGATAGCAGACAGGGGAAGTAAAGGCGCATCAGAGCATCCGATGCAACAAATTTGCGAGGAGACCCTCCAAATGCTGCAATGTTTTCCATGCCAAAGATGCTCAGGATGAGTCCAATTTTAGCCCAGGAGAAGTGAATCATCTATAGGGCAAGAAGTTTAAAGAGAAAAAAAAGTATTATTCCAAGTATGCAGTGCTGTCCACATCCAAAACTTCTAGGTCAACTACAGTGAAGAACTGATGTGGGAAAAAGAAAGCAGCCTGAGCTCTCAGTGCTCTGGGTCGGCTGTCAGCTGTCCTCATCCTCACATCATTGATGTCCCGACCCTGTTGGTGGGCTATGGGAGGAAAGCGCAGGCCTCGTACCTCTTGATGCTTGGCTGGGAGTTTCTGACTTGTACCTTTAATTAAAGGGAATATGACCTTTTTGATGATGATGATGATGATGATGATGATGATGATGATGATGATGATGAAAACATCTCAAAAAAGAATGGGGGCATGCACAGGCTTATATATTATTCCAAGTTCTGTTTAAGTCGAGAGGGTCTGAAACAGTAAAATCATGTTTGCTCATGCAGCTCTGAGTAACTGAAGGGGGAAAGAGCTCAGAAAATAATTGATTAGATGCCAATTCACATAGCTCACTTAGTCTGCTTTTTATTATCAGTATTTCTTTAAAAGGCTAATAGATCCTGTTCTTGACAAGCATGAAGCCAGAAGGTGGGCTCTTATCCAGTGTTTTCATTTTTCAGCCCTCAAGAGGCAATGATTAGATCTTACTATTGAATGCACAAACCACACTCACTGTGTGAACTCTCTGAAAGCACTCCCCACCTAGGGATAAAAAAAAGTAGAGAAGTTTTATTGGAAGGATTGTAAAAGGAAGAGGGAGGAGCGTTCTGGGTCTCTTTGGGCCAACTGATTAGGAATGAGTTGATTTTCTTATGACCACTCTAAATCTACTCTCCTGGGGAGGAGGGAAACCTGAGATGATTGGACTTCAGTGATTTAATTCCAGGTCAAAGAATAGCCAAACCTGGGCTGGAGAGCAAAAGTCAACCAGTGAAAGAGCGTTCGCGAAGTGATCGAAATCCTGTGAATCCTAGGTAATTGTTGTGAGTGGAGTTTCTCTCTTCCACATCTCGTAAACTGTAACTGAACTTAGGACAATATGCCAGTCAACGGATGCTCTCCACAGATTGCATGATCTAAAACTGAGCTACAAGGAGCCAAATATGATTAAAATGTGCTTCCAGTCATAAC